TCCCACGGATTGTTGAAAAAGAGCCAAATACGAGAAAATAAGTTTACCTGTGAGAAACACTAGAATATCGCCGGGAAGAGGTTGCGTGAGATGAATCTGCATAATGGTGACTAGGACTGCATCGAGATAATCTGCTTCCGGGGCTTGTGTATAGTATATATCCACAGGAAACCTAAATATGACCGTGGAAAAATGAAAACAGAAAATTCATGACGAAAGTGGAAGATTGCGTTAAGACAGTCAATACTAGCCTCCTTCCTGGAATTCTGAATATCGGTGCATCGTCGAAAAAGGTGGAAAACTTCTCAGCATCCAAAGTCGCAGAAGAGATGAGAAGTTTCAAATCCTCAACAAGTTAAGGAAAGCAAGCAATGATAGAAAAAGAAGTATAATGATGAGTCTTACCTTCCTAAACCTAGCAATATCCTTTACTAGGCCGAAAAGTATATCGGTATGTAACGTTCTCTCGTGAGCTTCATCGATCATCATTACACTGGAATGAAGCATCTAGATAAAATAACGAATTATTTCTATAAAATTTTGTACTCAATACAGAGCTGTGTAAATGCATATCATATTCTGCAAAATGCTTCTTTTTTAAGATGTAAGCATAATTTCAACTGATTGCATTCAAAAGCTTGAATATTCCTCCTAACACTTTCTCCCTAGTCGAGAAAAATCATACAAAATTGGTTACCCAAGCTCTAGATAAAAACATTTCCAACTGAAGAGAAGAACGTAATCAAAATATTAGATCTGATGAATGAAACAGACCTATAGCTGGCTAGATCGGGTTCATTCAAAAATTCTCTCAGAAGCATACCATCAGTCATATACTTCAACACAGTTTTCTCTGATGTGCAGTCTTCGAAACGGATACTGTAGCCAACCTAAGTACTTTTTGTAGCATTAGTTTATGAAAGGAATTTGCAAAACCAAAATCGACCCACTTGCATGCCCAACTTGCATCCAATCTCCTCAGCCACCCTGGCCGCAACAGACATAGCTGCTACTCGACGAGGCTGAGTGCATCCAATTTTCTTACCGTCTTTACAGAACCCCTGAATAGAAACTCAGATCACTAATACTCAAAAAGCTTAATATAGTAACATACAGCCTCATATAAATATTGGGGTAGCTGAGTAGTCTTTCCAGAACCTGTTTCACCTTCGATGATCAGCACCTAAATGCTGCAATCTCGAAAATTCTCACAAACAAAAGATTAGCTGAACAACTTGCCTGATGTTCCTTGACAGCTTCGATAAACTGTTCTCGAAAAGCATAAACAGGCAGCGATCGTCTTGTTTCTTCTATTGTCATTTTCCTCTTCTGAGCTGCGCTGAGTTCTTCAGCCTTAAATTACGGAGTGTCGACAGATACTTAAAGTTTAAGAAAACACTTCGTACCTGTTGCTTTTCCAGCGTTCCGGGCATTTGCAGAGCTTGGATGAAATCAATTTTGTCATCAAGCAGTAAGTCAAATTCTTCTTGTTTCTAAGATAAATCTTGGGTTAGGAGATATGGGCTCAAACTGAGAAACGTAAATACTTACAAGCTTAGCATCTTTCGCTCCATATGTGAGCATACTTGCCAAAAGCTGCTCTTGCTCCCATTTTGCACCATCTCCTAAAAAGTGAGTAATACGCAGTACAAGACAAAAGTAGAGCTGTGATATTCTGACTAGGTGGAAAATTCGAAGTTGGCCTATCTTTACCAGAATATAGCGACAGCCAAAAAACATGTCGAGATTTTCTCTTAGAAAACTTTGGATAACAGATGAATTTTGGACATGATAACAACATATTTGCGTACATAGTTGTCATTCAAAAATCAAATACTCTCGAAGAAATTGCAAAAACTGTAAAATAAAAAGCAAAAGCATGTATCCAAGCAGATTACAATCATTCTACCCAGAAGTTAGTAAATTTG